ACATACTTTTGTGTTTTCCCTCCCCTGCTTTTCTGCCCTCAAAGGAAAATGTGATGCTAAGTAACAACCTGTGAACTGTTAATTCCTTTATAAGATTGGTATTGTAAACAGAAGATTTAACATGAAAATGTAGCATTAAAAAAATTAGGTTGTTTAATAATGGCCTCTTAATACCACCCTAAATTGTAATTAGCAGAGTATAACTTGGTTCAGTGAAGTTTTAAATGCTTGCTTTTTCACATTGGCTCCCTGTTCGGGATTCTTTTTGATTTTGTTTAAAATCATACTGATAGAAATATATTTAAGCTATTTTTATTGTATATTTCAGTCTTTCAATTTGAGGACATCTTGGCTCAGTCCCTAGTCTTTCCTAAATACTTTGACAGAGCCCACGTCCCCTACAATGATAAAAGTCCATTTATGTGGATCTGTTAAAAAAAGTCTTCTATTCTGGGCTTTAATTTCTAGAATAAAAAACATATTTAATGCTGGGTTTCCATCTAAGTAAATGCTTTACTCATTTAAATATATGCTTTTCAAAAACTAGTGTGATTAAAACATTAACAGGATCTTAAATATTAATTAATAATCCCACTACTTCTTGTAGAACAGTGGTCCCCAACCTTTTTGGCACCAGGGACCAGTTTCGTGGAAGACGATTTTTCCAGAGGTGGGTAGGGGATGGTTTTAGGATGATTCAAACACATTACATTTCTTGTGCACGTTATTTCTATTATTATTACATTGTAATATATTATGAAATAATTATACAATTCACCATAATGCAGAATCAGTGGGAGCCCTGAGCTTGTTTTCCTGCAACTAGATGGTCCCATCTGGGGGTGATGGGAGACAGTGACACCCGAAGTGTGTTACTTATGTCCAGTCTACTCTGTGATCTCGTTTTGGTCACTGTCACTGCAGAAAACCCTGCTTCACAAGGATAGGATGTTGGAAATGGAAGCAGGCTTTTCAGTGCTTTTGTAGCAATCTCAGGATATTCCACCTTGACTTTAATAATCCAGAATGTATGGAGATTTGAAGTTGCCTCAAACGTACTTTTAAGGCCACTGTCATTTGCAGTCTCAAGCAGTTGATCCTCTTCTAGCACGAACAAAGTTGATTCACCTGGTTTATTCACAAATGGGTCGCGGATCCATTCCTTCCCAGTTCGGGGGTCTTTTGTGTTTGGGAAGTAATGCTCAAATTCTTGAAAGCTGAGATAGGTGATCATACATTAGCTAGGAGAAAGAAGGCCCTGGTTCAGTTTCTTTCAGAATCTCTGCTAATGTTTGAAACATGTCAAAAATCCCAGTGTTCACTTGTTGCCCCCATAATTCCAATTCAGCTTTGAATGCAACCACCTTATCTGCCCACTTGAACACAGTTATCATTCTCCCTTCAAGTGACAGATTGAGTTTGTTGAGCAGGTTGAATATGCCACACAAGTAAGCAAGTTTTGCGACCCATTCTGTGTCACTGAAATGTGCTGCCAGTGGTGACTGTTTTTCTACAAGAAATCTCTGGAGCGGCTCTCGTAACTCAGAAACTCTGGCTAGTGATCTACCTTTGGAAAGCCATCTCACTTGTGTGTAAGAGAAGGCACGTGTGCTCTGCGTCCATCTCCTCACAAAGCTGCGTGAGCAGATGTGAATTAAGGGCATGTACTTTAATGTGGTTGATAATTTTAATCACACCCTGCAAGACGTTGTTAAGTTCAGGTGACATTTTTTGGCTAGCCAGCATTTCTTTATGGATGACACACAGTGTATAGACTGACATTCAGAAGAAACCTCTTTGACCCGACTAGTGAAACCAGAAAACCGTCCAGTCATGGCAGCCGCTCCGTCTGTGCATATACCGACACAAAATGACCAGTTGAATTTTCCTGATGTGTAATCATTCAAAGACTTGAATAGTTCTGCAGCTGTGGTGGTGGTTGGCAACAAAAGTGCACATAACATATCATCACGCACATCCTCCTGAAAATTATATCGCACAAAAACAAGCGTTGTTGCCTTGTCAACATCGGTAGACTTGTCAACCTGGATTGTGTACCACGGCGACTCATTAATCCTAAAAATTGTGCCTCAATATCCTCTACTATTTCATCAGTTTGTCTAGTTATAGTGCTAGCCGAAAGAGGAACACGTGCCACCTTTTGAACTGCAGCCTCTCCTAAAAGTTCACGACAAATGTCCTTAGCAGGCAGGATCAACTCTTCACCAATAGTAAAGGGCTTCTTAGCTTTAGCAATGCGGTTAGCCGCTAAAGAATGATGCTCTCAGTGCAGACACATTTGATTAAGTGGTGGCCTTCAGTAATTGCTTCTGTTCTTTGTGTTCACGTTGTTTTCTTTTGAAAAACTCCAAAGGCTTGTCTTTTAATTCAGGGCGGTTGGTCTCCATGTGGCAAAGCAGTTTTGAAGGTTTCATGGCTTCGTTGGATAGCTGGTCACCACATATTATACAAGTGGGCTTGGAGAATGTGAATCACCTGTTGCAGTGAACCCATAATTTAAGTAGGACTCTTGGTATTTTCTTTTCAGTGCAGCTTTCTTTTTGTTGGCAGTCTCAGAGTCTTCTGCTCTCTCATCATTGGGTCTTTCCCCCTTTTCAAAGAAGCTCTCCAGTGATGTTTGTTTTCTACTCATTTTGGCTAGGGTTAGCTTGTGGGCTTACCAAAACTGTGACTGAGGCAAGTGCACAGTGCGGGAAAGAGGCACAGACAGAAGTGGTAATTAAAATAATGGGTGGGCCACGCACGGACTAAAATAAGTGTTGGATTCTGACTTAAAGCCTGCCACCAGATACAGCTGTACAATTGAAGTACATCCACTCACTTGCCACTGTAAAGCCTGCCACTGGATGCAGCTTAATTGTCACGTGCCACTCACTGACAGGGTATTGATATGAGTCTGCAAGCACTTATGGTCTCTGTGCAGTCAAACCTCTCTGCTAATGATAATCTGTATTTGCAGCTGCTCCCCAGCGCTAGCATCGCTGCCTCAGCTCCACCTCAGATCATCAGGCATTAGATTCTCATAAGGAGCACACAACCTAGATCCCTCACATGCGCAATTCACAGGTTTGTGCTCCTATGAGAACCTAATGCTGCCGCTGATCTGACAGGAGGCGGAGCTCAGGAGGTAATGGGAGTGATGCGGAGTGGCTGTAAATGCAGAAGAAGCTTCTGTTGCTCGCCTGCCGCTCACCACCTGCTCTGCAGCCTGGTTCCAGTACCGGTCTGTGGCCCGGGGGTTGAGGGCCCCTGTTGTAGAAGATAACATGACTGGTTTGTAATTTTTCTGTGGTCTAGTTTTTTGTTCTAATTTTGTGAGAATTAAAGTAGGGAATTTCAGCCACCTAATGTACGTCATTATTTGATGTTTTTCTTGGAGCATCTCACATTCTTGAAAATACACATGGCAAAATCAGTTTTACCAAGAATTTCTGTAACTTTAAGATGATGTAGAGTAGAACTTGACTCAGGCAGGTATTATATAAAGCCAAGTTTTTAGGGCCATCAGTGGCTTACAGCTGAAGATGGCATTATGAAGATAACATCAGTGGTTAGAACCTCTTAGCTTTTCCAAAATGCAGTCATCTTCCAGTGAATGCTAATCCCACTCCTAGCTGAGGCCTGCTGCTTTAGGGATCCCCCTTGGTATGCTCTTGGCTCTTATAATTGCTAGCAACAGGAGCCATGCTGCCTGATAGAGCTGGCAGCTAAGCCCATAGGTGCAGTTATGCTTTCATTGCCTAGTGTGCATGAATACACACCCACATCCACTTATCCACCTGTAGTTTGAGATGAGAGGAGGTAAGAGCTAGCTAGGCTTATAGTGCCATGCCTAAATTTGCTGGCTCAAGTTTCTTATTTCACCCTCACCTTGCCCACTGGGGAGCCAATGACAGTTTTAGAAACAGTACCAAATCAGAAATCCCTCTGGAATTATCTCTTTTGAAGGAGACACAGGTGTTGATTTTTTCCCTTCCTCCTCCTCCTTGATGGCAGCTTAAAGTAAGGGTGAGGGTGTGGTGACTGGGAGCCAGTACTCTCTAGGAGAGCCAGATCAGCAGAAGTATTACTCCACAGCCCTGTGCTAGATGATACCCTATAGGTCCGGACATCTAAATGTAAGCCGGTATCTCCAAAGCATTTCCTAACACTGTCATTGCCCAAGTAGACCTTTATTTAGCTGGGTCCTAACTTCCAACTAGAGATTTTCTTTTCTAGACAGCAGCTATGATATATATAGTTCCTGTCAGGTGAGCATACTAATGCCATGCTGCTCTCACAAGCTAGTGCTTTTCAGTAATGTTAGCAGAGGAGGAAAGGGTACATTAGGTGAGAAAGTATTGACAGGGAAGTCCAGGTAGGCCTGCCACCTGAACCTTCTGGGGACAGGTAACACTGTGGGGCCTGAGCTTTGTATTGGAGTGGCTCTAGGGAAATATGGGTTCTGTGTGGGGGTGGGTCACTTCGATTGGCTTTAGTTACTAATGGCAACGGTATGTTAGGATACTGACCCCTGCATGTAGACGTGGATTTGGAAAGGTAAAAGATCAGCAAACGTTTGGCTGAAGGAGCTCTGAGGGCATATCTAATTACTGGGTCTGTTAAACAAAAGAGATCTTGTTTTAGATGGATTGATAGAAAATTTCTGGATCAATTCTGAAACACAAAGCAATTATTTTTAATACAATTTATGACTTGTGTGACTACATTATAACATTTCATGTGGCTTAAAATTATATGGGTAAAACATACCTTCACCAGTAATCATCTGTGATGCCATTTACTGAATTAAGTTTTTTGAAGGTTAGAAACATTACACATCTGAAAGCATACTGTTAATGAATGCTATTCTTTCTGTATCCGAAATTCACTTTTCATAATTATTTTTTAGCATACATCTCTGTTGATAAATCCATGTATGTATTCACGTAGCCTATTGTCTGGTTGTATGATCTTTCAACCAAAACCATCCTTTGCAGATGCTTTTACTGACTCTGCTATCAGTGCTAAAGTGAATGGTGAACACAAAGAGAAGGACCTGGAGCCCTGGGATGCAGGTGAACTCACTACCAGTGAGGAACTGGAGGCTTTGGAAAATGATGTTGTAAGCAAAATCTTTTCGATTAGTAACACTATGGTCGTGTGATATGGTATGACATCCTATCACTTGGTTTTAATTTAAGTATGTTGTTGTAAATATATTTAAAGTAGCAGTTTTATTGTGTAAATAGAGACTTCGCCCTAGGCAGTATATACAGAAAAATGTTTCTTTGGGATGCTTATGAATTATTTGTATGTTTTTAACATAAGTCCTAATAAGCAACATAAAAATTTAAATTGGAAACCATGGGAAACTAGAAATGCTGGCATGTTTTGCTTTGAGTACTCTGCAGAATAGGCAGCCTAAGGAAAGTGGTGTCTTGTCTGTTGACTTTACCTAGCGGTGAGGTCAAATTGTGACTTTTAGGCTTCTTGTCTGTCAGAGAGGCACTCATTATTAAGATATATTGTTAGATTACATTAGAATTAAAGCAATAAGTAAATTTCTTTGTCTTAAAATTAGGAACATTCTCGACAAAAATCTATTTCCAGAAGCCTCTTGGCATATATTTTTACTTTTCCCATAACACATCATTTATAAATCAAATACTTAATAATGATTCTGTCATTAGGATTCTGTAAATTCCGTTTCTAAACTGTGGAGATAGAAGCAAAGTCTCTTGCCAAAAATGAGTGTTTAGATAGTAAAATTTGAATGGGATGGGGGACTTCCCTGGCGGTCCAGTGATTAGAACTTCACCTTCCAATGTAGGGAGTGTGTGTTTGATCCCTGGTCGGGGAGCTAGGATCCCATGTGCCTCATGGCCAAAAAACTGAAACATAAAACAGAAGCAATATTGTAACAGATTCAATAAAGACTTGTAAAAGTCCACATCAAAAAAATCTTTAAAAAAAAAAATTTCAAAGGGATGAAGAATCTTTCATTGAATATTACAGAAAAGTCTTATTTAACAAATCTGTGTTTGATGTTTAAGTCATTGTCTAGTTGCAAAACTGGAAATACATAGACAATGCATCATTATTAATTTTCAAACTTTTTAAAGAAGCACATATAACTGAATGTGAAGGTTCTCAGGTTTGTGCAGCACATCACCTCTGTGGAGGATATGGAAAAGCAGGCACTCTTTTTGTTTTTTTTTCTAATTGATAGTGAAGCAGTTAAATTGATAGACGCTTTCTAGAGAGCATTCTGGCAATGTTTATCAAAATTTAAAACACACATACACTTTATTTAATCTACACTGGGTCTTAGTTGCGGCACGCGGACTCTTAGTTGTGGCATGCATGTGGGATCTAGTTCCCCAACCAGGGATCGAAGCCGGGCCCTCTGCATTGGGAGCGTGGAGTCTTACCCACCGGACCACCAGGGAAGTCCCCACACATACACTTTGGTCCAGCAATTCTACCTCTGAGAATTTATCCATATGACTTTCAAATAATTATGTATGAGGATGTTTTTCACAGCATTTTATTCTAATAGTGAAAAATAGGAAACATCCTAACTGTCCATCAATAGGGCATGGGTTAAATAGATTTATTGTACCTCCATTCAGTTGAAATACTGTATGTCCACTGGAAAGAAAGATATTCTGGGAAGATATCTAAAACTTACTAAAAGAAAGCAGGGCTTCCCTGGTGGCGCGGTGGTTGAGAGTCCGTCTGCCGATGCAGGGGACACGGGTTCGTGCCCCGGTCCGGGAGGATCCCACGTGCCACGGAGCAGCTGGGCCTGCGAGCCATGGCCGCTGAGCCTGTGCGTACGGAGCCTGTGCTCTGCAACGGGAGAGGCCGCAACAGTGAGAGGACTGTGTACCGCAAAAAAAAAAAAAGAAAAAGAAAGTTGCAGAGAATTTTCAAAACAGAGAGCTGATGATAATAATCATATTCTTACATATGCACAGAGAATGTCTGGAATTATGCCCAAGAAGTTGTTAATGGTGGTTATCTGTGCACACTGGGATTGGCAGATTTTACTTTTCACTGGATGTCTTTCTGCACTGTTTAAATTTTTTACATGGAGCATATACTAAAAGAGCATATTTTAAAGCTTCCATAGGTAACTGATTTCCTACCCGCATGTGTTAGGCCAAAGTAGTTGATTTAGTGGTGGAATTACATTACAGTTTTATCTGGAGTAGCACAGAGGGAGCCAAGGTTAATGGGTGACCTTAGAGGCAAGTTTTAGTCTTGAAATTGCCATCAACATTGCTCAGATGATGCTGTGCCCTCTTCTGACATGGATAATGATAACCCCTTTCTACCAGTCAGACCTGATGATCAGTCAACTCAAAAAGGTTTCAGGTAAATACCTTGTAGAAAGGTCACCGTTACGGAGTAGGGAA